GTGCGTTGATTCAGTACGATTACGAGAAGGCCGAGGACAACGAGCTTGAGCTTGTCGAGGGCGAGTACGTCACCAACATTGAGATGGTTGACGAGGACTGGTGGATGGGCACCAACTCTCGCGGCGAGAGCGGTCTGTTCCCTAGCAACTACGTGGAGCTCGTCGAGGACGAGGCCGAACCGGCACCAGCAGCGCGTGCGGCACCTCCCCCCGCCCCGGCTCAAGCGGAGCCCGAACCGGAACCGGCGCCGGCGGCCGATGGCGGTCGGACTGCGACGGCCCAGTTCGATTACGAGGCTGCCGAAGACAATGGTAAGATTCCACGCCCACTGCTACCGAGTGGGGTCATGCTGACTGCGTGTTCAGAACTTTCGTTCCCCGAGAACGCTACGATCACGGATCTCGAGTTCCCCGATGAGGATTGGTGGTTCGGTTCCTACGGCGGCAAGCAGGGCTTGTTCCCTGCCAACTATGTCCAGCTTGACAACTAAGTATGGGTTGATGAGAACAGATAGAAAAGTCTTTATGACGGCCAGCGAATAGTCTTGCTTTGAGCCCCTATAGCTATTTGCATTCTTAGGTTGCAGAGGGTTCAGGGTACCGGTGGAAAATAAAATTACACGTGGCAACAAGATAATGTTTTCCGTTGAAAGTTGTTTCGTGAAACATGTTGAAGACGGATCGTCGCTAAAGAAGTCTTGGTGTTGAACCGCCAAGCCGAGAACGGACTAATGACGCAAAGTTGCATTGCGGCCAAGCCAGCACATTTGTTGATTTTATCAAGTCATGATGACCTCAACATCACCGGGCACTGTATTTGTTCGAACCGAGATGGGGTCGTTTGGTTAAATGTATATGAAATTCATTATTGCGCAAAGATGCGCCCCAGCAAAACCTCATCCAAAGGAGCGACAGAACGCGCCGCCAAAAACGCCTAAGGGGGGGAATAAGAATGAACAAGCGTCGATGCCGCTTTGAATCCATCATGAAAACCAAAAGTCCTGTTCCTTTCCGCCCGACCGACCATCCACCATTCGTCCTTCCATCCCATCTCTTTAACAGGTCGTCCGCCTCTTCAGGGGTCTTTGCGCCGTGATAGCCGTGGGGAAATCGTCGGTTCGTTCCATTTTCGTTCCTGTCCCAAAAAAAATCCTTTCGCCGGCCTCTTTGACTCTCTCTCCCTCTGTGTCTCCCATTGCCGCCCTCAACCGAAGAAAAGCGTCGAGCATTACAGTTTTTTGTGTGGTGCGTTTCTCGGTGTTGTTCGCGGACCCCACTTTCCCAACACCACAGACCGTGGTCTTGACACACGACGAATGTCACATAAGTTGCCGTTTTTCCAGAGGCCGTGACCGTTTAGCAGATTTCGAAGCAGCATTCGCAACTGGACAGAAGTGTCAGCGTGGCGTTCTCGATGGGATTGCGCATGAAAGAGTGTCCTTACCATTCCGCGCAGCATTCGCACGTCTCGTCGATGACGCAGCAACAGCACAGCGCCGCGAGACAAGCGGTCAGGCAGTTGCCGCCGCCCTGCTTCCTGGGCGCCTGCTGGGGAGGCTGCTGCTGGTACTGCATGGGAGGCTGGCCGCCCTGGGGGTAGTAGCCGCCCTGCTGGGGGTAGCCTCCTCCTTGGGGAGGGCCATAAGACTGTCAAGGTGTTAGTTGGGCATATCTTCAGAATGGATGCGCGCGCATGTTGGGCCAAGCGTGGCGATACGACTACTCCCGAGCTCGCGAATTGAGGGAAAAGAGGAAGCTTACAGGTTGGGGTTGCTGGGGGTATCCGCCGCCGGGACCGTAGTTCTGCTGGTAACCACCGCCGCCGCCGTGCTGGTTGTAGTAGTCGTTGCTGGCCATGTTTGTCTAAGTTGATTGCTCTTGCAGGAAAAAGAGAACGATATCGCTAAGGAATACTGGAATGCGATTGATTAGAAAGCTGTTTTGTTACGAATGAGAAAAAGGATGGGTGTGTGAGATTAAGAGAAGAATTCTGAGACCGTCAGAGAGCAAGGGAAAAGAGTGGGCGAACGACTGTCGATAAAAAGGCCCCCAAGTGGTCCAGTGACAGGTCTTGGGCTGCAGGCGTGCTAAGGCTTGAAGGCTAGGTACCTACCCAAGATGGCAGTGGAAAGCTGTGCACACCCCCTGCAGGACTCCAGAGCACCTCGCGCAGCCCGCTGTACCCTTACCCACGCCCAGCACAGCACGCAGCTTCTTCGCGGTGGCAGTGTGAGACTGTGAGTCGACCCCCCGGCGCGGTGGGTGGCTTTTCTTCGGGGAGAGCGAAGGGCGCTGCGGGGCCGGAGCTAAGAAGCTTTTTTCCTACCAGATTCCCACTGGGCACCACAGATGATTCGGCGCTGGGCCAATTGCAATGCTAAATCGGGCTGCTGGCGTAATTGAACGGGCCTTGAGGGAGGAGCCCGATGACGGGGCGGGGATACATCGGCATGGGACTCCCGATTTACGTGTAATGAGGCGACAGATTGCACTGCACTGCACGCACCTCGAAATGTTGAGGTGAACACACTAGCCAGCTGACGGGATGGCCGTACCTACGTAAGGTAGGAGGGCAATGGAGACGGCGCAGCCACACTGGATAGTCTGCCACTCTGCAGAATGGGTGGGTGTTAGTGGCGGTGGTGATGCGTCCACCTTCTCGACCTGTCGAGACGACCCGTCCCATGATTCGATCGCCTTCGGTTTTGCTGCGCACCGCAGTCTTGCCGCCGCGAAGCGAGGAAACAACTGTCAACGGTGGCCCGTCCTCTTTCTCCTTTGGTCCCATCAAACGGCCACTCGGAATGCTTCAATCTGGGGAAAGCATTGGCATATGCCCGAGCAACACAGTTGTCCTCCCCCCGGATTCCATGCCATGCACTCCTCGGCGGGCCCTGCGCAAGTGTGTAGATTCTCGTCGGGATATGCCGTGCTGCGCGCCGCGGAACCTGCGCATGAGTTCGGAACCATCAAGTGTCCTTTCCGCCAGCCAGACAGACCACAGGTAGAGCCACTTGCCGCAGGTAAGTTTTGGCTAGGACGCCAGTCATCCTGCTTCGTCTCTTTTGGTCGCGACGGTCGTCATCGTCGAAGGGGAGAGGGACTTTGCCGGTTCAAGTCAAACAGTCACACGCCCGCCTGCTTCTCGCGCCATCAGGGCCAGAAAGCCCCCTTTTTGCGAGACATTTACGTAGTTGGACGTTGTATGGTACCGCCTGATACCACTTTGACGTCTCAACGGGCTGTTCTTATCGTCCGGTAGACATGATCCGCTAAGGGGGACTGTTGATGGCTGACGCCAGCGAAACCAAAACATCAACGAGTGTCACTGTTTGACAAAGGTCTAGGGGATGCGTGGAGACGAACCACTCTTCCCGCAACAACACCGTTCGAAATTTCTCGGTCCTGGCCCCATCGAAAGAACCCAAGTGAAAGGGACGCGCTGCCCGCGTTGGATCCACCAAAAACCCGGCGATTGCAAGGCCACAATGTGAAGCCCGCTGACTTGGTGCTTGGTTGAACCCGATCTTATGCACCGAGGTCCCCACTGAGGTGGACTTCCATCATTGCTCTCGCCCACCGGCGCAGCAACACACCAACAAATCGTGACTAACGACACCAGCAGACCTGCTGTGCTGTGCCTCCAGCAAGCGTGCTGCGTCCAATCCAATCCCCTCCCTCCCTCCCAGCCACAGACATTGCCGCATCTTCCGCGGGCCAATTGAACCGTATCGCGTTTTCTCGGGTACGATCTGACAGAATCACCTGCCTCGAACTCTCTACCTATCCCTCACATAAGGGTCCATCCTCTGGAACAAGCAATGCGCTACGCACACAGGGCTGGGTGAGGTGGGACTGGGGCCCGGCTTGGCTGTGGTCTACAGGCGAAGCTGGGAGAAGGAAACGGGGCCAAGGCGCCGCCAAGCTTTGCGGCGACGGCTGTCTCGACGTTGGGCCCAAACTCTCTTCTCCTCGATCCTGCCCCCTCTCCCCCAGACATTGATGTTTCCATCTGGTCATCGTCCTGCGAGCAAGGGGGATAAGGGATGCTGAAGCAAGGCAGGCCAAACCAACACCAACTAGACGGCAGCGCCACATGAGACGCAAGACGTGCGTATTCGTAGACCGCTCCTTCTACTGATGCCGTTGCACGAGTAATCCAAATCAACTGGCCATGTAGCTAAGGTAGCTTAGTGTTGGTCCAGCTGCTGCGCAGTGGCTTAGTTTTACAGACGTGGTCTATGGCATCGCCCTCGGAGCCGAATTATTGATACAAGCTGCCGTTAGATTCAATCGGCAGTCAGCGGGCCTTTTAGGTACCCGGTGTACGATTCGTGACCCTCACCAAAAATGCGATCCAAGTCGCGCGGGACTGTCGGTATCCGACAACAAACAGGGCTCCAACACAAAACGATGTCCAGGGTAACTACAAGTCCACCGCGTCGATGAGGAAGACAACGTTTGATCGTCTCGTCAAGCCTTTTGACAAGCATTTCCGAGGAGGAGTGGATCCCGTTCCCGGCGAACCCTCCTCGTGCTTCCCACTCTCTAGGTAAGTCGATCAAAGCCCGTCTCGCCGTTCCAGCGGCCTGGCCCAAACAATCGGGGTCGATGCCAAGAAGGATGGCTGCCGGGCGGAAGGGCGGGTACTACGGGAGAAAAATTGGCATCACGGGGGCGCAACGCCGGCAATCTCGTATCCCGCGGGCGAACGCCTGGCTTGGCCTTGGCTGACCTCTCGCGTGTCACAAGCTACGTACCTTATATCGTATTACTTTAACAAAAACTTAAGCTGACGAGCTTTTGATGAGGAAAAAAGGTCATATTGCTTGCTGTATTTTCGCTCTCAAATCGTATCACACGTTCATGTCTCTATAGTACTTTGTAGATGGCGCACAATGCTCAACACACTCACACACGCACTCACACATATTATACACTATTCAACCAGTGGTTTTCATGCCATCGTTCTTAATCTCCCCCCAACCCTGGAAAGGTCATCATCGCTCGTACCTCGGCAAGGGTTCCGAGCCTGCTGCGTGGCTGGACTGTCCAGCAGCTGCTTCAGTCCTGTAGCTATACTGCTCGCCGTAGTCTTCTTCCTCGTCGTTGAGTGCGGGCGCCGAAGGCTCAGCCACGTCCCCAGGTGGTGCTGATGGCCCGGCGTCATAATCGTCTGGGAATTCTGGCGGCGCGCTGGCTTCGTTCAGAAGCCGTTGTCGTTCGAGTTCCTGCTTGTCCTCTGTACGAGCTTCGCGAGCCGTAGACAGGTCGTCCAACGTTGGCGCTGACGGCTGTCCTTCTGCATGGTGCCCCTCGTGAGGTGCCGAGGGACCTGGCTGTGCCTCGTCTTCGGCGTCATAAATATTCGGTTCTGGTGCAGATGCTCCGGACGGTCCTGCTTCCAAACTTTGAGGCGGTTGACTGGGCAACAGTCTCTCTTCTTGGCGTCTTACACGCTCCTTGTCTGTCAAGCGCGCTTCGTCTGGCACCTGCGGTGGAGGGATATAGGCGGGCGCTTGCATCTCCTCAGGCGGACTCGTAGGCTGGATCGTGATGGTAGGTTGCCTGCTTAGGGTACCAGGATTCTGAGGTGTAGCGAGTGGCCAGTAGCTCTCGCCGTCGTCCGCATGAATATCGTCAACCGGCCAAGGGCTCGAAATGTCCTCTCCGCTGGCCGCTCCTTCATGCATCTGGTACGTCCGCACCGTATTACTCCGGCCACGTAACCTCGAGCTGTCCGTGGTTCCTAGAATTACCTCAAAAACGACGGATATCACGCCCTTTTCGCGCCGTAACCGATCCGTGTCTATGACGTTTCCACCCCAAGAGTTGACAACTGCATTGTTGCCCTCTGCAGCAGCGGACCCGGGAGCAAACTGTCCCACCCTCGGTTGACCGCCGCCCTGAAGCTGACTCGCCAACCTGCCACCCAGATCGACCAGAACCTCGACTTGGTACTTGAAGCTGACCATCTCCCCTGGTACACCTTTGATCGTCGGGAAAACATCTTCAGGTACCTTGATGGATGCTGTCACTGTTGTCTCCAATGTTATTGGATCAATGATCAGAGGAGCAACCGATTGGGAAAGATCCTTCCTGAAAACGCTCAGTGACGAGGTGGAGCTCAGAGACAGACCGCCGAGACCGGTGCGTGACCGTGGATAGTAGTCTTCCTTCGCAAGCTTTTTAGTCTCTTCTTTTGTCATGATGTCCGCGAACATTGATGCCGGCGGCGCTGTATCGATCCTGCCTTGGCGATACATGGTGACAATAACACCGTGCATGCTCTTTATTCGCTTGATATGTTGGACAGACACCTTGACGGAAACGGTGTCTCCTGGTAATGCGCCGCCCTTGAGCATCTCAATAGTAGCCGTTATTGTTTTTTCGTCGACGGCTTGCATCTTGGAGTTTGTCAGAGAGCCGCCTAAACGGGGTTCGGCCCGCGTTAAGCTGATGCCTGTACTGGAACTTATGGTGCTGTCCCCGCTGACTTCGCTCTGGATATCTGTGTGAGTTGGACTCCGCGGTTGCTCGAGTGGATCGTGTGTAGACTCGTCGTTTGACGCTGCGGGATCGGGTGTCACTGCTTCGCGCTGTTCCATGTCCGAACCATGGTCAACGCTCTCTACAGCGAGCGAAGCTTTCTCTCCACCGCCAGTCCTCTTTCTTTTTGACTTTTTGGAAATCGGTTCGAGGTAAATCGTCCGGGGACGCGGAGGCGCGAGAGGCCCAATGTCCACCTTTTCCACCAGTTGAATCTTTCGGTCGCATGATGTCGTTGGCGATATTGAAGTCGGACGCGTTAGAGTCGCTGTAATCATGTAGGAAATCGTGCCTCGTTCAAACTGTAGCCAGGCGCGTCAGCACTGCGACTCAACAAACCAAGCGAGAAAGGGTTCCATACGTCAATGCTGCTAGGCAAACCCTTTTCGGGGAACACTAAATCAAAATTGAACTCGTATTTCGAAGCCTCCAACCTCCCCTCGCCGCTGAGCACCTGCTCGTCCTGGAAGAGCGAAGCGTGACCATTTCCGTGGTATTGTGCCGAAGACCGACCGGACAGGGCGGGATTCGCGACGGGAGGCTCGCTGACGGCAGGCCCCTTGTGGACGCGGACGTAGCCATGTAGGGTGACGGTGAGATGTGTGATGCGCACCGGCTTGACAACGGTCAAGACTACGGCGCCACGGACATGGTCGCCAGCCGAGTACTGGCGGTGGGGGTCGTCGGGGCGGACGTGGAAGTCGGCGAGGTTACGCGAACGCGAGCGGATCGGCAGGGCGAAGCGAGAAAAAAACGAGCGTGTGGACGAGGTTGTTTCTTCGACGGAGCCGTTGGAATGCGAGTATGCGCCCATGTATGCAACGACTTGCGGGCCGGGCCTTTGGCGGTGTCGTGGATCGGTCGGGGTCGGAGGTGGTGATGGGGATTGCGGTGGTTGTGGTGATGTCGGCAGCGGTGGTTGTGGAGGAGGACGGCAAGGACGTGGAGGAGGAGGAGGCGGAGTCGGGAGGCGGGCGAAGGACCGAGATGGAGATGGAGACGGGGGAGGGGGCGCAGCAGAGGCGACGACGGTTGCACCCTCGACGTCGACATGCAACGAGGGGATTCACAGAGCAGCGCCTTCGTGGCTCGCAGCAGTAGGATTGCGTAGCCGTGTAGGCTGTGGCCGTGGGCGCGGGGGGGAGGAGGAGCGCGGCGAGACGGGCGGGCAGTGATGAGTGAGCGCGAGCCAGGCTTACGGAGAAGCTCAGCAGTGGTCTTGGGGCGCACAACAGCAGCAAGCAGCAGCAGCAGCAGCAGCTGGTCTGGTGCGGTGCGATGCGGTGCGTTGCGGTGCTCGACAGCGAACAAGCGGCTCGACCGGGTCCACGAGGTCTCGGTATGTCGGGACGAATCGTCAGGGACCTGTGCTCGCTCGTTTGCGCGATGGGACTGTCCGCGTGCTGTCCGACTGGTGGGCGGCTGCTAGAGCTTGGGAGGGGAATTGATTTGATGATGGAATGCCAGGCTGGGATCTTTGAGAGATGCTGGCAGCGGATTTCTTGGTTGCATATGCCAAGAGCGAAGAGGGAGCCTTGCCAAGAAAGCTTCGCTTTTTCTGGAAATCTCGAGGGTTCACAGTCTCAGATTGCCCGTGGGTGCCGGGGATCAGGAGAAGAACAAGCCTGAGGCACGGGAACGGGGGGCGGATGGACAATGGGCAATTTAGGACGAAGAGGGGGGTGTCAGGGCCAGGGCCAGGGCCACGTAGTGTGTTGTACGTATTGCTCTACGGATGGTGCGCCGGATGTATATTGCTCGACGTTTGGTTGTTGCGCGGGCCTCTTTGTTAGCACCTCGCAGTCTCATACCCAAGGCATGCGCCTGACAACTACTTGGATGGTACGGATGGGTAAGGTAGGTATGAGAATGAGAAAGGGCCGTCAGGCAGGTATCAGTTGTATCAGTCCACTACCCAGCCAGCCAACCAATGCCCAAGGGGCTGCTGCTGCTACCGTAGATGAGGAGGGGGCGGGGAGCATATCCGTACAGACGCTAGGTAGGCAAGTGGATGGCTGGACGGATAGACGGACGGACTTTTGGACCCAGCACGACCTCTGGGGAGACTGGACGCCGAATGAGAATGAGATTGATGGCCTGCTACGGGTGACGAGACGAGGTGACGAGGCCGAGGAACCGCGCAGGAAGGCGCCTGTGTCAGCGACAATGTGCAATGTGACAGTGGAGGCCCGGCTGGTATCGACCAACAGCTTCGCAGTCGGCTGCACTAACACCGAAAGAGCCCCATTTTTGATGCGGAAGGACGGCACCAAGAGGGCGGGGGCCAGCCGACTGGCGATGTGTGTCTGAATGAAGCGTTGGTGTGTGTGGTTTGTGAAAGAACGGAAGAAAGCAGAAACACCACGACCGGCGCACCGTGGGAATACGTACCCCCGGATGGTTCAGCTCAGCCCCAATTGTAGGGAACAGTCCTTGTCTTCAGGTTGTCTTGCTCGCCTCGTCATTGGGGCTGCTAACGCCTGACTAAGGCACCTCACAGCGTCAGGGCGACGGGACGGCACTGGAATCGGGTCGTCGTCGGGTACCTCGACATACCCTCCCGAGACAGGGAAACACTTCCATTTGAACCTAAGACATGCCACTCCCGCTGATGGGGCCTGTCCGGAGCCTTGCCGTCTGAGCTGCCCTTGTGCTTCGTGCCCTGTGCCCGGCCTGGTGCATCCAATCCAGTGCTTGCCAGCGCCGTGTGCTTACAAAACATGTGCTTTTGGAGCCTGCCCGGCGTTGCATTCCATGCCGACGTCCGTCTATCCAACGGGATAACCACACAATCGAGACAACAAGTAGCCAATCAACCATTCAATAGTACGATCAACTTGGGTAGAGCGCGTTGCTAGTTGCTTCCTCTTTGAGGCAACTCTGAACATGAAGCAGGCATTTCCGACTCAACTATGGCCAGTAATATCGAGACTTAAAAATAGGAGTGGGTACCTCACTCGATGCTCCGTCCAGCGTGCAGTACCTTTTTTGTCTGTTACATAGTCCATCCGGCCGCCTCAAACAGAAGTAAAATGCCTCTCCATCCGCGTTGTCACACTGGACCGTGTGCGTCTCTTCTTCAACGAGAAACGCAAGTTGGGAAGAGATGCTAAGTATGCAACGGTCAAAACATGGAAGCAAGGGAAAGGGTAAGGTAGTTTGAGCAACGCCCTGCGTGGGTACCCCCGTTGACCTTAACGGCGGTAAGGTGTGCCAAGCCAAGACCGCAGGCAAGATAAGGTAGTGATGAGGGAAGGGAGATGCACATTGTGAAAGTCTTGTCTTGTTACACTGTTGTGGCGGCAGCGGATCGCACCCGATCTGGTTGCAACTGTGAACCTGGAGCCTGTCTCCAGGTACTTGACTTTGTGTGCCTGCCGCAGGCCTGCGGGAGAAACACCAGACAATTCAATTCTCCGGCCCACGAACATCAGGCATTCCATTCCACATGGGCTTATGGGCTGACCAAATCCCGAGCTGACGCCGGTGCGTCCGCCCGCAGCTCCTCCGTTTCGCCTCATCGTCTCACTGCACTTCACATCTGAGCGTCTGCTGCATCTTTTGCGACTCGGGCACCATTTGTCTGCTCTGCTCTCCACAAGTCTTGTTTCGTTTTAACCGTCTGGTATCATGCTATTAATGTCTCGTTCTAATACCTTTCTCACACCATCTGCGTGCTGACACGCGAGCATCTACCATGCTGATATCCATCCTTCACACTTCTCTTCACCTTACGCCACGCCCTCCAACCATCTATCCCGTTGATATTCAGACAATTGCTGACGTCCAATGCTGTGCTGATCATGTCTATCGATCTGCGTTATATCCCCAAAACGCCACGTGCCATGCTTTTCCAGACCCTATTGCCATGCAGAAAAAAAATCTCCCAAAGAACTCCATGTGGTATGCCATAATACAAGAATCAATCCAACGCCTCGCCACTGAGAATTCGGGTCAAGATGGCTGCACCAACGCCCTCGGCGATGCTCTCCATCTCCTTCTCTCCAACGCAGCTAGCCACCCGCTTGTCTTCGCCGGTTGGCATCGCCGCTTTACGCCCTCTTTTGCTTGGCGTCTGGATTGCTACAAGGCCCCCTGTCTTTCCATCAACCTGGTTGATCAGGCCCAACGTCTCCAAACTTCCGATGACTTCGCGAAACTCTGAGCTTGACAGCGGGTGAAGGACAGAGTCTCGGGTGCAAAGAATTGTGTAAGTCTCACACAAGCTTTTGACTGTGGGGGCGAGTGACTGCGACTTAGTCGGAGTTGCCAAGCCGTTTGCCATCTTCGCCGATCTGTTACGCTTCTCAAGGGCGACCAATGAGCAGAGCGCGGCCTTCTGCTGAAGGTTGAGCGCCTTCAGTCTCTGGTTGGTGCCGTTGCTGAAAGCTGCCGCCGTCACCTTGTTCAGATGTCCAATGGCAGCTCGAGGTGCCGTCTCCGCTGTCAGAGCCTTCAAAGACGCCGCGGCAACGTGAGATACGCTTCTGGAGCCGCCAGTTGCAGCCATGTTGGCGTTTTCGCCAAGAGGCTTCCGAGAAGGTGTCATCTGCAAAACTTTCTCCCTTGCCTCGTTTTCGTGTTGTTGTTTTGTCTCTGACTCGATCAAGTCAAGTGCGCGCCTGCAAACCTCGAAGGCTTTCCGCAGATCTCCCGTCTGAGCTGACACCTTTCTCGAGCAAAGCTCAATAGCTGCAGGGTGAATGAAAGGAGTCGTCGTTTGCTTGCTGTCTTTTGGGAGCAGCGACATTAAGCGCGTGGTGATAATGCTCTTGATCTGGGCCGCTGAGTAGGGGTGAAAAGGGAGCAAAGACGGCTTGAGGTTCTTCGACTTGAGGCGTGGCAGAAATCGGTCCGTGAGGTCGAGGGCGTTTGCGATGCCGATGAGAACGAGTCGGGATGGCTGCTGCAAGGACCATTCGAACAAGCGGTATAGACTCTCAAGACCCATGGTCAAGATGTGGTCAATCTCGTCCAAGACAACGAGGTAGACAGGCGAGCCCTTCTTCTTCGTCACAAAGATCTTTTGCAATGCCTCCATTGCCGATGCCTCTGAGAGATCGCTGTCGTGCCCCAAGAGATCAAGCAGGGTGTTGTAGAGGTCCTTGGATGACCGGATGCTCATGCAGTTGATCGTTGCTTGACGCACAGCTGTTGACTCGGTCAAATGCTCTGTGACTTCCTTCACCATTGCACTCTTGCCGGTTCCAGGGGGTCCGCTGACGTAGAGGCATCCGCTGGGGTTCGTAGATGAGCATTGCTGAATAAACTGAGAGAGCTGTTCGCGCTCTTGCTCTCGTCCCACAAGCGGACCGGGATCAGCACCGCGGGCGAAGAGTTGTCGTGCAGAGTGGTAGACGGTTTGAAGAGAGCCGGGGGTGAGAGGAGATTGCGGCGTCATTCTCTGGAATAGCTTGCCGGCGGACTTGACAGCCATTCGAGGGGTTGAAGGGGAATTGGCGAAGACATCTCGGTGCCGAGGAGTTTGAGGCGTGACAGGGATCGCCTTAGCCAGAGTCTGGGAGCGGGAACGCTTGAGCTTCTTCGGAGAGGGCTCAGCATAAACATCGTCGAGCTGTGAATCGCTTTCGGACGTGGAATTCGCATCGGGGTCTGCGTTCTCGTCATTCTCTTGTGCGGCTCGAGTCTGTCTTCTGGTTCGCTTCGCAGGAAGCTGAACTTCATCTGGCAAGGCAGTTAGCAACAAAGTTTAGACTGTTGACAAGTTCGGTCGAGCTTACCTTGGTCCTGGACGGTCCTAGTCCGCTTGCCGAGGAGTGAGGCGCGAGACATTGCGGTAATGTATTAAAGTAA